GCCCTGCCAGCTGCAGTGGGATCCAGAGACTCGAACAGTGCAGAAAAGGCCCTTCAGCCCATCTAGTCTGCATTGGCATAACCCCACAAAAAGTGTGCTCACCCCATTCTCCTGCACTCCCCTCTTACCATGAGGGGAAGGGTCAGGAAGCTTGAAGTACCCCCTACCTCCTTAGGACAGTGACTCCGAGTCAGCCAGAGCTGTTGCTGTGGGACTGGAGTCACAAACAGGCCAGAGACGGTCACCCTCTGGCGAGCACATGGGAGAACTGCTTAAAACAATCAGTCTACAGCTGTCACCAGCTCACCGCTGTCTATATTCATTCAACCAAATGTACATCCTCAAATTGCCCTGGGGGCATCCTGTCCCTGGGGTAAATTAATTGCCCCTCCATGGGAGATGTGTGTTGCTGTATCCAGTCCCTATCCCTAACTGCCCCTCGAACTGAAAGGCTTGCCTTGACTGCAGAGTGTACCATGTGGATGTCAGCGGGGCTGGCAGTGCTCATACATATCCTGTGTGTGAGGCTGTCGCGGTATGGGTACACAGTGTGTGAGGCTTTCGCGGTGTGGGTACGCGGTGTGAGAGGCTGTAGCGGTGTGTGAGGCTATAGCGGTGTGGGTACATGGTGTGTGAGGCTGTCGCGGTGTGTGTACGCGGTGTGTGAGGCTTTCGCAGTGTGGGTACGCGGTGTGTGAGGCTGTAGCAGTGTGGGATGCTGCAGCGGTGTGGGTATGCGGTGTGGGATGCTGCAGCGGTTTGGGTACACAGTGTGGGTACACGTTGTGGGGGGCAATGGTGCAGGGATGCGGTGCAAGTACATGGTGCGGGTACACGGTCCGGGGACGTGGTGCAGGCATGCGTTGTGGGGACGCGGTGCGGGTACACGGTGCGGGGACGCGGTGCGGGGTAACGGTGTGAGGAAGCGGTGCGGGGACGCGTTGCGGGGACGCGGTGTGGGTACACGGTGCGGGGACGCGGTGCGGGGACGCAGTGCGGGTACACGGTGCGGGGACGCGGTGCAGGGTTGCGGTGTGGGTACATGGTGCGGGGAAGCGGTGCGGGTACACGGTGCAGGGACGCGGTGCGGGTACATTGTGTGGGGATGCGGTGCGGGGACGCAGTACGGGAAAGCGGTGCGTTCGGTTGCTGTTTGTAATGACTGAGCTTTATATTCACACAGACCTGGACAGCTGCGAGGAGCTGGAGAGAAAGCGGATATGCCGTATTATTTCCATGGACTTCCCACTCTACTTTGCCGTGGTGTCCCGGATCAAACAGGACATTGCGTGGATCGGCCCGGAGGGAGGTGTTGTTCACAGCACGCTTGTCCCGAAAGTGCAGACCATCTTCCCCATCTCGGCTGTCATCAAGAGAGTGCGCCTCGGTGTCCAGGTAATGTTGTTGTTGGGGGAGAGGGACAGTGCCCCTTGTTCTATGGTAATGGTGATTATTGAGAGCAGCGAGTGAGAATCCCGCTCCCATTCCCCACTGGGAACAGAGAGCCCCGCTCCCATTCCCCACTGGGAACAGAGAGCCCCACTCTCATTCCCCACTGGGAACAGAAAGTCCCGCTCCCATTCCCCACTGGGAACAGAAAATCCCGCTCCCATTCCCCACTGGGAACAGAACGCCCCGCTCACATTCCCCACTGGGAACAGAATGTCCCGTTCACATTCCCCACTGGGAACAGAAAGCCCTGCTCCCATTCCCCACTGGGAACAGAAAGCCCCGCTCACATTCCCAATGGGAACAGAATGTCCCGCTCCCATTCCCCACTGGGAACAGAAAGCCCCGCTCCCATTCCCCACTGGGAACAGAAAGCCCCGCTCCCATTCCCCACTGGGA